GCTGGCACCCACACACCTGCCTGCAGTGAGAGCCTCTGCCCTGTTTGCAGTGGGGGATAAACGGAGGGAAGGGACAGAGAAAGAAACCCCCCCTGTGAGGAGTCCTCAATCCCAACCGGCTCCTGTGGGGAGAGCTGGGGGTCTCCCTGAAGCCCCTGCATCCCGTGGCCCCTCACTGCCTGCACTGCACCCCGGCTCAGAGCCACCTGCCCCCACACTCTTCTGAAAAAAGAGACGTTTCCAGTGATGGGGAGTGGTGACTGGGTGAGATTATTGCCATTTCTATCCCTCAGCAACCAAAAGTGATAAAAAATAGAGGACTGGGGGGCAAACACCCCTTTAAAAAGGCTAGAAAGTAGAAGTGGAGCAGGTAGCCCATGGCAGTTGAGCCCCACCACATTGCACACATGCTGCAAAGCCCCAAACAAACCCCAAAGTTTTTTCTCATCCGTTCTGTTTCCAGCTGGCTGGGGTGGGGGCTCCCTTCCACCCCACAGCCACGCTGGCTGGGCCGAGCAGGTGGGAAAGGCAGGAGCACCTCTGCCAGCAACCAAGGGCAGGCACCGTGCTGGTGTTCCAGACCCCTGGAGGAAGCCACCATGCATCCTCCTGCCACTCTTCCCCCCGAGCGATGTCTCTTTGGGGTGATCACCACAAACCAGCCCCTGGTCTCCCCACCCTCAGCCAGGCTGGTTGCACTGGGGCAGTTAGCACCATCTGTTGTCCACATCTCACAGCCCGGGGGTCTGCCCGACTTGGGCAATGAGGGAATTCACCAGGGCAAAGAGAACTGCTCTTCTCTGTGCCTGAATTATTCAGAAATGCTCTCCTCATAAATAATTTATCTGCTTTGTAAAAATGCATTTTCGACCAACGCAAGTAGGCTTCAGGGGTCTGCGCAATTATCAGCTGCGAGCTCTCCTTCCTCGCCTGTGCTGGGGCGTTCCTTTTAATGGGCAAGGAGAAATCTCATTAAACACCTCATTAATAGCTCGGCCTGCGGAGCGAAGCCGGAGGGGAGAGCTGGGCAGAGGCAGGCTCTCAGGTGCCTCGTCAGAAAGATGCCATCGCTGCTGGGAGCGAAACCTGGGGAGGAAGCTTTGGCAGGGGATGTTGCAGGGGAGTGCTCCGCATACCAGACCACTGAGGTTGTTATTCTCTTCCCTGCCCGGCCTCTCCCCAGCCCAGAACGAGCCCCAAAACAAGAGCAGCCTGTGCTAAGAGAAGGCAGTACCTGGCTCAGCTGCGGGTTGGCATGAGAGCGGAGGGGAGCTGGAGGGAGTCCTGTATAACCCTTGGCTGCGTCCCCCTGGCACAGCCCAGAGAGGCCAAAGCTGCACCCCAAACTGCCAGCGCAGAAACGAGCGCCCTGGGAACAGCTATAACGTTAATAAAAGGAGCTTTGAGCAGTATTTATAGGGCCATGTTTCCTGAACAAATGTGTCTCAATGTCCCTTTCGGCATGAGAAACCCTGCTGCGCCAAGATCCCTTGCTGGGAGCCAAGTGGGGATCCCCTGAGGCCGGAGAAGTTTATTTGTGATGGACAAGAAGAAAAACACGCTGTTGCTTAAGCCTGGCAAGGAGCTGCTCTGCCCGAGCTGCCCAGTGCAGGGAAGAAAAGAGCCCGTTTGTCTGTGTGAAACGGGCTGAGAAATTGTTAACCCCGCTGCCGAGAAGCGGGCTGGATTCATCCAGCAAAGGCAAAGGCATCATCCAGGTCCCGTGGTCCTGCAGCCGGGGGACGATCAGAGCTCACCCTATTTGGCCAAGCTGCTGGCTTCTGGTAGCCCCCAAATGCTGGCTCAGCATCCCCACCATAACATGCACCCACGGGGCTCCCGACCCACACTACCATTGCCTTGGGTGAGGAACCCGACCTGCACAGCCCAGCTAGGCTTCCAGATGGCCCCATGAAGCCCTTGTCCCCTCCTGTGGGCTGGTCTGCCTTGGCCACCACTGCCAGGTCTGCATCTCCCTGGACCCGAGCCACCCCCTGTGCTCATGCAGTGGGAACATCAGGGTCCCTGGGCTTGTGACAGCCATGGCTGCACCACATGCTGATGGCCTTCATTCCCCCCCGGCCACACTGTGGGGGACAGAAACGGCCCCAGCAGCCCAATGCCATGCTGTACCAGGTGCACCCATTGGCCCAGCAGACCCTGAGGGAGCTGAACTGCCAGAAAAGGGGCTGAGCAGCCCCCAAGGGCACATCAGACCAACCTGACACCCTCCAGCCCGCCCACAGGGAGAGAGCTCCCCTTCCCCGTTAATAATTAGCCACTAGAGGGAAGTGAGATGCCACACGGGGAAGGATTTGGGTGCACATCGATGCATGGCATCATGAAGAGCTGCAATTTGTGGCCAGGGTCCCGACTGACGGTGGCACCAGCACTAAAAGCCACTTTACTGCTTTTTTCTTTGGTGTCTCAGCTCCTCAGCCCTCCCCGTTGCCTTGCACCTGATGCAGGTGCCCGTGGGGCCACAGCAGGGGTGGGCACGGGGGCTGTCTGGCTGTTGGAGAGGAGTCAGCCCAGCCGGGGCCACCAGCAGTGCCCGGGGACAGGGCCAGCAGCATCCCTGGCACAGAGGCCGCAGTCCCTCCGCTGGGCACAGCCTCGGGCAGCACCAAAATAGCACGTCCCAGCCAGCCCGCTAAATGGCGTAAGCAGTTTGTGCCTTTTTTAGCAAAGTGGGGAATATCTGTTGTTTCTGGGACGTGCGGTATCCAGGGCCAGCGGGAAGACGAGGGAAGAGCCAGGCATCCCAGGGGGAGAGTGAGCTGGGGCAGGGCAGGGGCCAGCTCCCAGCAGAGCTGGGGGGGCACAGCATCCACGGGAAGGGACAAGGGATCCCATGGGCTGGGCTCAACCGTGGTGAGGGACAATGGTGGGCACTCAGGGGCTCCTTCCACAGCCCTGATCCTGCCCACAGGGCCAGGCTGCCCTGACCTCCTCCTGAGGCAGCCATCCCCTCCTCCCCGCCACCAAAGTGTCTTTTCACCCCTCAGATCACACCAGCGGGGATCGTGACTGTGCTGATGGAGCACAGCTGATAACGAGCCTCCTGCTCTACGTTCTTGCTGTTTATAGATGGCTAAATATAACCTTCTACTTATTTTTAATTCTTAGCAAAAGCTACAATCCACAATCCATCAAGTCACTTCTGTATTTTTCCTACTTGCAGGCTTGCATCAGATCCAAGAGAGACGACAAGGTCAGGCTCAGCAAGGTCAGGTCTGTAGCCGAGTTTGGTGCAGCACGGGCACCGTCGGTCCAGTCCGTGCATTTGGTGGCAGGTTTTGCTTGTCACCGGGCAGAGAAAGGGGTATTTTAAAGGTGTGCCTATCACACAGCCCCGAAGTCGCTCACTGGATTGTACAACATCTCCCTCTGCAGTGGGAACAGAGTGGGAACAGCACCAACCCGGTGTGTAAAGCAACATAAATGCGAGTGCATCTGGGGTGGTATCAGCTGGTTGCACCCCCAGAGACACACCAGGCAGCCAGCGCTGCCTCCCACCCCTCTTCTGGGAGGCAGAGATAACGTTTGGGAGGCTATTGACGGACTACTGAAAGATTTAGCACTGTGGTGTTTTCCTAAATACCGAATTGAAAGGCGATGAGGTAATTGCAGGACTACCTATCAAACACGTCAGGTCCAATTTTCAAATTCTAGCAGCCTAAAAAATACCCCATTCGCGCATTTTGGGGTTCAAGCTGAGAGCTGGCAGCGAAACCAGCCTTGTCTTGCTCACACTCCCAGGACAAGCAGCTGAAAACCTCTCATCTCCCCTGCAAAAAAGGGTTCTATTTCAGTTCCAAGATCCCACTCCTCCATGGACTGCTCAGGAGATGAGGCTTCGACAGAAACAGTGGTGACACACACTCAAAAACACATACACGCAGCTCTAGGAAATCACATTTACACAAAAACAACAGATCCAACTAAAACTCTTTCTATATGTTAGTGGGGTTCCGTGAGGGATTGTTTTAAGTCTCAATGGTGCATGGAAAAAACATAATCCAAAAAAAAAAAAAAAGAAAAAGTCAAATTCTTCAAATGCTGGACTAAAGGCTTGACCAAAATAAGGCAGGCAACGAGGAGCCATCCTGTGGCTCCTCCCTCGTGCACCCTTCTCCTCAGGACTTCAAAATTCACCCTGGCTGACTCCTAACTCTACGTATAAGAAATTATTTGTGTGTTCATTTATACATCCTTTTAGTCCTTCCAGGTATTACAACAACTCAGTAATTCAGGATAGTCTCCTGCTGACATTCACTTGGATAAGTTTCCCCTCTCCCAAGGACACCGGGTCCCCACGCCCAGTTGCAACAACACTCATCCTACTGTTTTTTCCTGGTCTGATTTTACAAGCCCAGGTTTGGCAAGGTCCCACCTAACTACCCTTGAACCATCCTGGAGCGGCTGGGGAGGAAAGCCTCCAGTCTCCAAGGTTCAACTCTGTTTTGGAAGGAGAGACACAGAGGGAAAAAAAAGACCTGAAGTTTGTCTTGACCTAAAGCCAAAACGTGTGATAGGTTGAAAGCCATCTGCAGAGCTGAAATTACTCTGATGATTTACAACAGTGCTGGCACTCTTCCCCTCGGGCAGCTTTGCCCTTCTTTGGTGTGGCAGCACCCTCAGGGCAGGAACGGCTCTTGCCATTAAAAGGAGAAGCCAAAACTTCTCACACAATAATTCATTTACTAACATGTTGAAAAAACCCACCCATTTGGGTGCGTTAATGCTGTAGACACACTTTCTCCATCAGCTGCTAGCAACATTTCCCAATTTACACAGAGCAGCAGCTCGTGCTGTACAAGCCCAGCCCTGGATGAGGAGGCTTTCACGCAGGCTTCTCCAGCAAACCATTGCTCCTTCAGTTCCTGTCAAACTCCCAAAACCATCTTTTCCCCCTTAAGGCTATCTTTGCAAGCTATCCCAGTGTGACCGGATTATATAAGTGGTCCAAAACTTAAGTGATGGCCAGGAAAAATTAATGGGAAAACCCAACTTTTAGGTCAGCATGCGCAATAGGCAATGGAAAATGCAGCGTCGGAGCTGACAGCTCCTGGTGCCCTTAGGGATAGGGATGTGGTAGCCAGACTTCATTTCTAAAGGGACTGCAGCAAGCCAACTAGGACTCAAAGCAGCTGGTAAGCAAGATTTATTATTTTTTTTCCCCCCCTTCTTTCTCACTTCAGGATTTTCTCTTCTTTTGGGCTGAATGAGACAGACAGACTTTTCTGTTCGCAAGAAGTTTCCTTTCTTAGAGTTACTCCCAGAACAGCCAGGGAGTATTTTAAACCAAGAATAGCTGATCTCCCTCGATTCATACTCCTGTTTTTGGAAACACTATTTAGAGATCAAAACTCCCCAAAGTAGTCAGGAACAACAGTGAAAAACCATATGACTCTAACAGCGAGCACTGCACTGGCACCTTTCAATTCACCTCTTTCCTTGAAGACTCCTGGGAGGACTGGGTTTGCCCCAAATCTCCCAGAGTCGTATCAGCTCCTTGCCAGAACCCTGCACCACCCAGATTTAAGGTGTGAGCCCCCTGGAGCAAGTCACTGCTGGAACATCAGCAAAAATTATGCTACAAGCAATTACTAAAAGAAAAAAGACAAAGATAAGCCAAACCCCTGGTTAACACCCTTTGAAGAAAATACTGGAGTTGGAAAACAGATGGACTTTTTGTGTGTTTTGTAAAGAGTTCTATTTCTATATCTATAACAATATATAATATTTATATAGCATTGTGTGGAATATAAATTCTGAATCATGGTCTGAATCCCTATGTGGCACTTACGAATAGCATTGTTCTTATGGATGATATGCTGATTTCTACTGATAAATGAGTAAGCTTCATATGATGCCTTTGAGCTTTTATTCCCTTGGCAGCTACTGCATTAACTGAAAGCCACCAAGAGCACTTAGTTCATCTATTACATGTCTGAAAGGCACAACTGACATTCAAGCATAGCAGATTATTTCATGTTACGCTGCTGAGCATCAGATGGAAAGACAGAAATAAATGGGAAAGACGTAGTAAAGGGATATCGTACCTAAACCAGAGTTTAAACTCGGAGCTAGCAGACAGGGCTTAAAACTTTTGTTTCTCAAACAAGCAAACTTCACTTGGAGCCCTTCAGAGCAGGGCATCTGCCAGGAAAGCTGCTTTGGGCTGCCTCAGATTCACACCAAGGAGGGGTTTATTTTGCCCAGATGAAGACCTGGCTTTGGTGCTGTCTATTGAGCGCACATCACTAACATTTCAATGATATTTGAGTTCTAGGCAGCATATGAGAAAGCAGAACTAGCCCAAACCGCAGCTCAAGAAAAGCAATTGTGTTTTCATGCAGCTAGATGTCCTCAGACAGCCCATGCAGATTTTGGAAGGGTGCATACATGTATCCAAGCCAGAGGGGACCCAGGCGGGGATACAGGACCCCCCTTCACTTAGTGCTATCCAAGGGGGGATGGCTGAGTGGCCATCTCATGGTGTGCCCACAACACGCACACCCGCACTTGCCAATTCAAGCTACTTTTAGTATTTATAGACATCAGTTTTGCTCGCCCACCCTGGTTCACAGGCAGTTATTTACCTGCCTTGTTGCAGAGCAGCAAGGCTTCCCAAGGAGGAGCTCTGGAGGAGCTCTGTGCTTCCCAAAGCGCAGAGAACACTGCCAAAGGTTCAGGCTGTGGGCGCTGGACCCCCTGGCACCCAAAACGGGCTCTGAGCCCTCGCACGGTGCCAGCCCAGCTCAGCTGATGGAGTGCCAGAGCCCGGTTTTAGGAGTTCCCTGATTTTATCTGTTAGTTACTGCCCACCAACGTCATAAACCAGAGCTTTGAAGTTTTCTTCAAAGCCCCCGCAATATCCTGCAAAAAACGAAATCGTGGTAACCTCTTTGTTATTCAACTTCCTGTGAAGCAATTATGCAAGGGCTAATAAGGCATTATTTAAAATATGACATTTAAATAGTTTGCCCAGGAAAATGAAACCTGCGAAGGAATTTCTCTGAAATATTCTTTTTCTTGGAATTACAGAGCTAAGGGACTCTAATAGCTGTGCTGTTACTCACTTTTTATTGCCTATTATGCCATTTACAAGCCCCATAACAGGATACCTTTATGGTTCCAGGGTATAATCTCTTCCCAGGGACCAGTATCACACAACAATAGTCATTTTAAAATATCTGTTTCCTAAAAGCCTAACCCAAAGCCCAGCAAGGTCCCACTGATTTCCTGGAGCATCAGCACAAAGCCCCAGGCTGTCCGTAGGGTGTCACCACCGACCTGTTTCTCAGGAGTCCCACTAATTGCTCTCACTAGCAATGCAATTAGATTACAGAAAAATACGACCCTACAGTGCCTAAACACTGCACAACTTGTCTTCCCACAATCCAAAACCATAATTTGGGTGGAAAAAAACCAGTATCATAAACATCATATGAAATTATGCTCAGAGGAGATGGAAAGCCTGACTCTAGTTTCTGTTCACGTTGGCTAGACCCAGGCCAGCAGGTTGGATGTGCAGCCATAAACCACTCACTCACCTTAAAGTCTTCTGAGGTTTTGAGACAGGCTCCACCAGACCTGTACTTTCAATCAGCTGCTCACTCAGCCGGGCAGAAGTGAGAGCATATTGTGGCTAATTGAGCGGAGATTTGCAAAGAAATCGGGCACAGATACCCTGGCATCTGCCACGCTCGGTCCGGAGCTACATCTGTGCACATGCAAAGAGCCCACAAACACCCATGGAGCAGCTCTGGCGTTTGCTCCTCTCTGTGCTGGATGTGCTCCCGGGCTGAGGTCCACGCTGCTCCCAGGAGCCCTGTCTCAGCTCGGCTCATGGAGCTCACGCCAGCACCATGCTGGATGTGGAGGGGCCCTTGGGGCCAGCAGAATTGCTTTCCTTAAGACATATCGATCCAAACTTAGTGTTCTGTGGCTCTCCATTATTCAAGGGTGGGGTTTTTCTTCATTCTTTTTTTTCCCCGTTAACCTTTAAAGCTAACAAAGCTATTGTCCACATCAGGAACCGACGATGAGGGGCTCAGCAGGCTTCCTCCTTTGCTCACTGCTGCTGATGGCCCCCCACCACACAGAGGTGGCCGCCCAGGATACTCAGCCTGACCCAAAAACACCATGTGCCAATTGGATGGGAGGAGCACCTGGCTACCCCGGCCATAACGGACTCCCTGGCAGGGATGGAAAAGATGGAAAAGATGGACTAAAAGGAGAGAAAGGAGAACAAGGTTGGTGAGGAACAAGGGGTATATCGGTGCTGGAGCTCATGGGCAACCCCAGCCCTCACAGCCAGCTCCAGCAGGTCTCACGTCTGCTAGGTCCATGCCCAAACTTTGTCCAGATGGCTTTTGAATATCTTCAGGGATGGAGATCCCACAGCCCAAATCAAAGGATTTGGTATGGTGGTTATTTTTCCAATTAATCATGTCCTTTCAGACATGTTGCTCTTGGCAGCAATGCACGCAGCCAGGGAGGTGAGAGTGAGAGGGCTTTCCACTCAGTCTCATCTCATAGAGGGCATTGAGCTCATCCAGCCTTTCCTCAGGGACACCCCTCACTCTGTGCTGCTGAGCAGATCATCATGCCACAGCCCCTTCTACATTTCGGGTGGGTGGGTAGCGGCTGCCAGCACAGTGCAAACAACTCCCCATCCCTACTGTGTCCCCCAGGTACGCAAGGACCCAAAGGTGACCAAGGCGAAACAGGAGCTCCAGGGCGGGAAGGGCCAAGAGGATTTCCTGGATACCCAGGGCAGAAGGGGGAGAAGGGTGAAGGTGCCTTTGTCTACCGCTCTGCCTTCAGCGTGGGGCTGAAGGAGAGAGCCCCCCATCCCAACGTCCCCATCCGCTTCAGCAAGATCTTCTACAATGAGCAGAACCACTACGACCCCAGCACCGGCAAGTTCCTCTGCAGCATCCCTGGCACATACTACTTCGCCTACCATCTGACAGTCTATCTGACAGATGTCAAGGTCAGCCTCTACAAGAAAGACAAGGCAGTGATCTTCACCTACGATCAGTTCCAGACAAACAACGTTGACCAAGCGAGCGGCTCCGTCTTGCTGCACCTCAGCTCTGGGGACGAGGTCTGGCTTCAGGTGTACGGGGAGGGGGACAACAACGGTGTCTACGCCGACAACATCAACGATTCCACTTTCATGGGCTTCCTCCTGTACCCAGACCCAGATGTCCATTAAAGCAGGGGATGCTACATGGGAGAGGATAAGGTGGCTTAACCCTGGATGGTGTCCTGGGGCACTGGCGCTATAGCTATACTGTATTTACCAGAAAATTGCCTTTTGCGGGGGCAACGATTGCCAAGGGTGGACCCTATCGCCTGTGAAATCAGTGAGGTTAGACACGAGTGACTTTTGTGGGACCAAGAGTTCACTCCTACCTCTGCTCTTGCTCTCCCTGTGGAAACCTGGGCCCAAAGTCAAATACCACTCCTGCCACATCATGAGAGAGTAACTCTCAAGATGGGCTAACCTCTTTTTAAATTTAAAACTGATAAGAGAAAAAATTGGTTATATTTAAATATTATATTGTAAATTTGCCTTGCTGAACCACCTAAATTCATTTAAAACAGGGGTACGGGTTTTAAAATTTGAATGGAAGAGGGAGAAGACTATTCCCAAAAGCCATCTCTGCTCTTGTTTTCAGCTGGAACAGATGACTCCGTTTTTTCCACTGTAATTCCCTCTGTTATTAGGACCTTTGACTTCCACCCATGGTTTGTTGTCTCCCTTCTTTAGTCCAGATCTTTGAATATATTCAGATTATTAACTTTCATTGAGTTTAATCCTTTGATTTTCCCTTTATGTTTATCCCTTATCATTATCTCTATTGTAGACAACACGCTCAGTTAGGGCAGGGATCTTGTCTTTTGATTTATCTGAAAAGCCTTATGAACGGAAATGAGGCTGCACAACAAAAGCAGCCCATTTATTGCAGGGCTTTGAGGAACCCGATGTGGTCACAGACATGTCAGCCACGGTTTGGAAATGTAGGCATCTCCCCTGCAAACACCTGTCTGACCAGGGAACAGAAGGTCCCTCAAGCCCCCTGGGCAGAGGGGGCCTCGTTGTGCAGGTGACACTTCCCAAATCACTCATCTGGCACATCAGCTGGGCAGAGCTTCAGATGGTGCAATCACCCATGTTGAGTGGGCTCCTGGGACATCCCCAGGACCTGCCCTAGCTCTCAACACATTTAGCTCAATGAGGGAAGAGTATTAAAGCAGAGATTAGTAGCAATCCCATCAAACTGCTCTCCAAGGAGCTTGTTTGACTTCTAGCTAAAAGAGGATTTGATGGCTTCTCAGATACATTCAAAGAAGACGCTCATTAAGCTTCAGAATAAGCTAACACAGATCAGCACTAATGCATTATTACAAGCAAAAACATGGCATTAAGAGCTTCAACTGAAATTACTTCCAACAGCAGCATTTTCTACACTCTAGTGAATTACTTTACAAATAATAACAACAATAAAGAACTCATTCAATAAGAATGTTCCTGCCTTTTTGTATGCGTCATTGGGAAGGGTTTGAAGAACGGGATGTTTTCCTAGACTCACCAGGCAGCCCATGAAATTATTTATATTTTTTTCCAGCAAGGTGGGGGCACCCTGGGCTGGCACACACAGGGACACACCCCTGTTTGCTTTCCCAAGAAACCCCCAACCCTCTAGCTTTCATCAAGGCTTCAGCATCTCACCACCTCACACCATACTGCTTCCTTTTTGGATAACATGAGCTCTGGTTTCCAGAGCGTTTCCCCAAAACCACTGTGCCTGACTCCACCCTGACCGGTGAGCCAGAGGGTTGGCCACTGCCCAGGAGGCTTCAAGCATACTAGATTTAGCAAGAGCTAAACTGATGCTCAAGCTGCTCGTGCTGAATTCAGAGAGCTGGGAAAAACCCTATTGCGTGACTTAATGGGAAAGGAACTGGGAAGAGAAAAACCCCTAAACAAGCAAACTCAAAAAACTAATCCATAAACAAAAGGAGATTTTAAAATGCAGCAGTTGCTGGATCAAATGGCATAAGAGGCTTAAATTGAAAGGAGCAAGTCAAAGCTTTTGTGGTACTTTTTTCACATATTTTCAGATGGATTTTCTGAAGGCAGGGAAAATTGAAACAACCAAAGTGCTAAGAGGCATTTTGGCGATAAACACCAGGAGGAAATACTAGTTTAAAGACTAGTTCCCAAGAGGCAACCAAAATGAATTATTCCTTTCCTTGCTGCCACGTAGGAACAAATACCCTCACAGTTTTGTCCCATATACCAGGTCTCAGAGCTTAGACATGGCTTTTCACACTGTTGTGTGCTTTAGGCCAGGGCAGAGCCCCGGGTATCTTACCAGCCCCTGCAACAGCTACATTGCCAGCGTAATGACATCCACTCAGGCCAACAGCATCTCCCACCTCGAGTTACCATGGCTGTAGTGTGAGAAATAAGGCACTTATTAGAAATTTGGACCACGCTGGCCCTTATGGGAAAGCCATATTGAACCCCACATGGTTGCTAGCCCTCCACTTTGTCCCACACAATTCACCCCACTCAGGATGCTGCAGGTGCTGTCACACCTTGTGGCAGATGACCAGCACCACAGCAGAGGTCATCCAGGGTCACCATTGACTGCAGGTCAGCCTCTTGGCCACCATGGCAGCAGGATGGCAGAGGGTTACACAAAGGACCAAAACAAGCCCCGCAGCAGAGACCCAGCCTGGAAGTCCCTGTTTCAAAGCTTGGGTCTGGTTTTGCAGCTTTACTCTCCCCCCATGCTTCATAAACCTGGGGGATGGGGAAATGCAGCCAAAATCGGCACATATGCAAGGCCTGGGCTGGCTCCAGAGGATTGCACAGTGCTTGCTTTGAACATATGATTATCTTATCAGGAAGGAGCCAAGAATGACACTGGCACACTGAAAGGGCACAGAACAACCTGCTCTCCAACAAATTTAAACGCTTTGGGCTTCGTTTACACCAACTCTGGTAACAGATGCCAAGTACAAAGCTGGGTCTCACTATTTACTGCCGCTCTAGCTGTGGCAGGTTTAAATGGCTGGTTTTCCCTTTAGAAACTAATGTACTGCTGCAGGCACAGAAATGGGACGCCTCTGGGCATAAACGCTGCCAGCAGCTCCCATTAGATAGCAACCAATATGATGAAGACACCAAGATTGAGGTCTTATTTGCTGCTTGTAATTAGAGCAGGTTATAAAGAGAGCACTTGGCTCTTCTGATCTTCAGAGCTGTGCTTGGCTCTTCCCTCCCTGTGCCACCACTCTGAGCAAGGCAGCAGGAAGGCAGCATGTTCTCTGGAAGGCAGAAAGCAAGAACACCCCCCAATGAAAGATTTAAGTCACTGCATTAAGGAGAAATAACGTGGTTACAGCTGGAGAGACTGGCCAGTCCCATCCAGCAGGGAAGCCATCTGTGAAAGGTTCACAGCCCCTTTTAGACATAATTATAGGCTGAGCCTGATTGTGCCTCAACCCCATGTAATCACTTGTGCCAGTAATTAATTGGAATACAAATAGCAGCTGCACTAAACCATGAAGAGCTACAAGAAAGAGATAAATTGCTTGCAAGACTTGTATTTGTTTGTGAAGTATAAACTCACTAGAGGCTTTTCAGCATGGAAGGCAGCAGAGGGATTAGGATAAAGCCCAACAGTTAGCCGATCAGCCAATTGTACTTCCAGGAGGAAATGCCATCAGATTTAAAGTTTACCGTCTGAAATACTCTGGAGGAAACCATTCCTGAGCACACTCAGGCTGGGAGCAAGGCTGGCAGCTGACAGCCTTGTGAAACAAAGAAACTGACGCCCCCATCACTTGTCAAATGACATTTGTAGTAGATGTAAGGATATGATGAGAAGACTCGGTCTGCCACGGGATGTAAACCAGCAAACCCACCCTCAGCTCACCCTTAGACTCATCCCAGGAGACCAGCCCAGCTTAACATCATTGCTCCTCGAGGGCAGTTGTGCGACCTCCCTGTCAAGGCTTCAGCATCTCACCACCTCACACCATACTGCTTCCTTTTTGGATAACATGAGCTCTGGTTTCCAGAGCGTTTCCCCAAAACCACTGTGCCTGACTCCACCCTGACCGGTGAGCCAGAGGGTTGGCCACTGCCCAGGAGGCTTCAAGCATACTAGATTTAGCAAGAGCTAAACTGATGCTCAAGCTGCTCGTGCTGAATTCAGAGAGCTGGGAAAAACCCTATTGCGTGACTTAATGGGAAAGGAACTGGGAAGAGAAAAACCCCTAAACAAGCAAACTCAAAAAACTAATCCATAAACAAAAGGAGATTTTAAAATGCAGCAGTTGCTGGATCAAATGGCATAAGAGGCTTAAATTGAAAGGAGCAAGTCAAAGCTTTTGTGGTACTTTTTTCACATATTTTCAGATGGATTTTCTGAAGGCAGGGAAAATTGAAACAACCAAAGTGCTAAGAGGCATTTTGGCGATAAACACCAGGAGGAAATACTAGTTTAAAGACTAGTTCCCAAGAGGCAACCAAAATGAATTATTCCTTTCCTTGCTGCCACGTAGGAACAAATACCCTCACAGTTTTGTCCCATATACCAGGTCTCAGAGCTTAGACATGGCTTTTCACACTGTTGTGTGCTTTAGGCCAGGGCAGAGCCCCGGGTATCTTACCAGCCCCTGCAACAGCCACATTGCCAGCGTGACGACATCCACCCAGGCCAACAGCATCTCCCACCTCAAGTTACCATGGCTGTAGTGTGAGAAATATGGCACTTATTAGAAATTTGGACCATGCTGGCCCTTATGGGAAAGTCTCATTGAACCCCACATGGTTGCTAGCCCTCCACATTGTCCCACACCACAATTCACCCCATTCAGGATGCTGCAGGTGCCGTCACACCTTGTGGCAGATGACCAGCACCACAGCAGAGGTCATCTAGGGTCACCATCGACTGCGGGTCAGCCTCTTGGCCACCGTGGCAGCAGGATGGCAGAGGGTTACACGAAGGACCCAAACAAGCCCCGCAGCAGAGACCCAGCCTAGAAGTCCCCGTTTCAAAGCTTGGGTCTGGTTTTGCAGCTTTACTCTCCCCCCATGCTTCATAAACCTGGGGGATGGGGAAATGCAGCCAAAATCGGCACATATGCAAGGCCTGGGCTGGCTCCAGAGGATTGCACAGTGCTTGCTTTGAACATATGATTATCTTATCAGGAAGGAGCCAAGAATGACACTGGCACACTGAAAGGGCACAGAACAACCTGCTCTCCAACAAATTTAAACGCTTTGGGCTTCGTTTACACCAACTCTGGTAACAGATGCCAAGTACAAAGCTGGGTCTCACTATTTACTGCCGCTCTAGCTGTGGCAGGTTTAAATGGCTGGTTTTCCCTTTAGAAACTAATGTACTGCTGCAGGCACAGAAATGGGACGCCTCTGGGCATAAACGCTGCCAGCAGCTCCCATTAGATAGCAACCAATATGATGAAGACACCAAGATTGAGGTCTTATTTGCTGCTTGTAATTAGGGCAGGTTATAAAGAGAGCACTTGGCTCTTCTGATCTTCAGAGCTGTGCTTGGCTCTTCCCTCCCTGTGCCACCACTCTGAGCAAGGCAGCAGGAAGGCAGCATGTTCTCTGGAAGGCAGAAAGCAAGAACACCCCCCAATGAAAGATTTAAGTCACTGCATTAAGGAGAAATAACGTGGTTACAGCTGGAGAGACTGGCCAGTCCCATCCAGCAGGGAAGCCATCTGTGAAAGGTTCACAGCCCCTTTTAGACATAATTATAGGCTGAGCCTGATTGTGCCTCAACCCCATGTAATCACTTGTGCCAGTAATTAATTGGAATACAAATAGCAGCTGCACTAAACCATGAAGAGCTACAAGAAAGAGATAAATTGCTTGCAAGACTTGTATTTGTTTGTGAAGTATAAACTCACTAGAGGCTTTTCAGCATGGAAGGCAGCAGAGGGATTAGGATAAAGCCCAACAGTTAGCTGATCAGCCAATTGTACTTCCAGCAGGAAATACCATCAGATTTAAAGTTTACCATCTGAAATACTCTGGAGGAAACCATTCCTGAGCACACTCAGGCTGGGAGCAAGGCTGGCAGCTGACAGCCTTGTGAAACAAAGAAACTGACGCCCCCATCACTTGTCAAATGACATTTGTAGTAGATGTAAGGATATGATGAAAAAACTCGGTCTGCCATGGGACTGTAAACCAGCAAACCCACCCTCAGCTCACCCTTAGACTCATCCCAGGAGACCAGCCCAGCTTAACATCATTGCTCCTCGAGGGCAGTTGTGCAACCTCCCTGTGTGGTTTGTTACTCTCCAGCCACTCCAAGGGGAAGGAAAGGTTTATTTCCCACAAAATGGAAACATTAAACATCAACATCTACTCCTTTCCCTGTGGCATATCAGAGGATTCCCACCCACTAAGAAACCTGTAGGATCCCACCCATAAAGCAGAACAGCTTCATGGAGAAGCATCAGGGAGAGGAAG